TGGGCGGAGGTAGTTTAGTAAGTTTCATCTTCTGACCCTCTTCATCCCCTTCGGGAAGGGGCTCATCATTGCTCCTTATTAACAAGCGGCCTGTCCCCCACTCGAAGGGGTCCGAACCAGGTTCAATGCCGACACCCTCCCCGCCATCACTGTCAACGACAACAATACGAAGTGTTGCGGCAACATCTGATCCCGTCTGGGCACCCCGCGATAACTTCTCGCGCGCAGGCCCACCATCCCAGCCAAACGCACATACAACGCGCACGCTGCGACAACATGTTAAGCCATGCGCGGGCGCCCCACGATTATCTTGCATCGCTGTCAGACAAAAATGACGGTGTACAACTTCGATCATCGTCTTGTGCGTGCGGGCCCACCATCCAAGGCAACCGCAAATTCCAACGATCTCCCTGTACACCCACCATGCACCATGCACCATACGGAACGCCTCGCTGCCACTTCGCATCTGTTTTTGGCCAGGACGGTGGGGGTGCGAGGCGGGGATTTGTCCGTATCCACCGCCTGGGAACCGGCGCCCTGGTGCCCGAGCGGGCGGTGGACATATGTATACATATATATATATATATATAGATACATACATATATATATGTATATATATTTGTTTTGTTTTTTTGGGGGGGGGCCCGGGGGCCCAGACATGTCCACAGTCACCGCCTGCCGAGGTCCCCGAAAATTGATCCTCCAGGCGGTGACCATACATAGATTCCTGCCGCGCGTGTTGTCACGTGTGCTGGCGCACCTGACTCTTTGGACCCCCGAAACGGGTACCGAAAGAATGGGTACAATGCCCAACAACAGCTGTGTCCCCAACCAACAGCGGCCGCTGCTGGGCAGGCGGCCTCCTGACTCGAGCGGACACAGGCCGCGGCGGCGCGGACGGCGAGTCCTGTCCAAAACGAGCAGGAACTGCTGTTGGGCATTGTACCCATTCTTTCCGTAAAAAAGGTTGTGATTGAGGAGGAGGAGGAGGAGGAGGAGGATCGAGGAGGAGGAGGAGGAGGAGACTCACTCTGTGCGCGCCGCGCACGTGGCGCACCCGGCGCGGGCGGAGCAGCACCTGCCGCACCTGGCGAGCGTGGAGCGCCCCTGGCGCGCCGGGGGCACGCTCGTGCCCTTGGGGCGCCCAGCACGCCCGAGGCGCGAGGCGCGCCCGATGCGCACCTCGCGAGCGTGCGAGCGCCGCGCGCCGTCGTCGTCGTCGTCGTCGTCGTCGTCGTCGTCGTCGTCGTCGTCGTCGTCGCCGTCGTCGTCGTCGTCGTCGTCGTCGTCGTCGTCGTCGTCGTCGTGGTCGTCGTCATCGTCGCCCGGCGCACCTCGCGAGCGTGCGAGCGCCGCGCGCCTGGCGCATGGCCTTAGGGCGACGAGATCTATGCATATCCACTGCTCCTGGCCAGGCCCATCCTGGGCCCAGGAGCGGTGTATACGCCCTCCTGGCCTGGCCAGGAGGGCGTATACACAGCTCCTGGGCCCAGGATGGGCCGGGCCAGGAGCAGTGGATATGTATAGATCTCGTCGCCCTATGGCCTGGTTCCCACCGGCCGCGAATCCGATCGCGGCCCCTGCGGATGCTGAGCCTCGGGTTGTGTGGCGGGAGGGCGGGCGGGAGCGTGCGACTCCCTGGGTGCAGGGATGTGTCAGAGGGTTCTCTGTGACAGGTGGCCCTAAGATATCCCCATGTATCCCCAAATGGCCGAAGATACTCGAATACGGCGCAAGATAGCGTCGGACATGCGTCCAAGAGGCCCCAAGACCGCTCCTAGACGACTCCAAGTTGCCACGGAGCCCAGCCCAGGGGCCAAAAATTCCGTCCAGCACGTGAAGGAACCCAGCGGTTGTGCCTTCTCGCCCTGTCGCTTCCGACGGGCTCTCGAGGCCGCGAGACTGCTCCAGGATCGCCCAAGAGAGCAGCCCCAAGAGGGCCCTAAGTCTGGGCCCGCCGTACTGTGGCTGACGTACCGACTTACACTTTCGGGCGGAAGCCTCCGCCTCAGAGAAACACAGTCGGCCTTGACTGGGCAGGACACGCGAGAGGACACGAGACCCTCATCCCTGCCCCCAAAGGTTCGTTCCGGGGCCGGGAAAAAACCGCTTCGTTCCTCAACCATCGGTCGTTGAAAGTGGGTATTTTTAACTTCCCATATTCCAGTCTACACCCTGCGAAATGCTTAAGAAATCATGGGTTAAGAAATTCATAGTCTCAGAACTTGAATAAAAACCCAACATGTCGATTACAATCTTAAGATTTACATTGAAACGTTAAGCAAAATCGAGACTCTGGCCGAAAACTTGGGTTTTCTTAAGCATCGCCTGGAGTCTACTTTGAGCGCTTTCCTGCTTCGAGGACCCCCCGCCCCATCCCTTGGCTCTGGACGGGGAGTCCGCGAGCGGCCAGAGCGCCCGAGAGAGCTCCAAGAGGGCCGCAGACAGCCCGCGACGGTCTCCGAATCTATACACATGTATATATATATATATGGGTACAGATATAGCCTCCAAACATATATCCTAAAATGGCCCATCCAGTCACCAATTATATATATGTGTGTATGTACGTATATATATGTATATATACACGTATATATATATATATATATATGTATATTTATATATATATACCCAGCCTCCAACAATATATCTAGCCTGCACCCTAAGATGGCCCACTCCAGCCTCCAAAGTACATCCCAGAGGCCCAAACGATATAACTCGAAAGACAGCTCCAGGTGGCCACGGAGCTTCCCAAGGAGGCCCTTCGGAGGCCCAAGTCCCCTTCCAACACCTGGGGAAACAAATTACGTCTGATTTCTCAACTTGTCGCTCCCGATGGGCTTCTGAGGCCCCAAGATGGCCAAACATTGTGCCCGACAGGGCCCCAAGAGGGGCCCAAGATGGCCCCGAGACGGCCCCAAGAGCACCCCAGGAAGGCCCCAATATGTGATGTTTGGGGCTTCAGAAGACCTTGTCAGAGTACGTGCCCCCTTCTTTGACCGATATCCTCCACGATGGCGTCAGGAGGGCCCCCCCGTCCTCCAAATGCTTCTAAAAGTGCAACAAGAGCCAAGAGCCGCAAGTGCTTCTAAAAGTGCACCTAGATGGCCCAAGTGAGCGGCCAAGAGGCTCACGTATCGAAAGACTCGCGAAGGCATGTCTGGTTGGCTCCTGAGTCTGCTCAGGCTGACCCCCAGATTCGGCTTTACGACTGCCCCCCTATCTAGGCCACTGATTGCTCCCACAAGTCCTGATCAGCCCAACTCGCCCGGGCATCGTTTCTGGACTGGCTGGCGGGAGTGCACGTGAAGTGTCAAGAACTGAAACCACTTGCCTGTTGAACATCCAGGATGGCCCCAGAAGAACTGCAGAAAGCCCTCAACAGATCCCCAAGAGCCGCCAAATGATGCCCCAAGGGCACCCAAGGAGGCCCAGAATAGAAGAAGAAAAACGCATACACGTAAACTTTTGGCGCTCCGCGCGGATTTCTTGGATCCGCGCTGGACCCTCTTCCCTGGCGCGCGGAGCGCGCCAGGGGCGGCGCCGGAGGCGCCGCCGGGGGGCCCAGGCGCGGATCCAAGAACTCCGCGCGGAACGCCAAAAGTTTATGATTATGTGGTTTTCTTCTTCGACAGAAAAAGACCTGAAAAGGCACGACGAGGCCTCCAAGAAGCTCCCAACCATCCAGAAGTTGGCCATTGCTAGGGGCTGCTCCGGTTGGCCCAGGCTTCGGTTTGACCGGTGCCCCCGATCCCCCACCCCACCCCACTGGCTAGCCAGCTGCTCCTCCTCCTCCTCCTCCTCCTCCTCCTCGTCTCTTCTTCTTCTTCCCTTCTCTTCCTCTTCCTCCCTCCTTCCTCCTCCTCCTCTCCCTCCGCCTCCTCCTCCCTCCCTCCCTCCCCTCCCTCCCTCCTCCCTCCCCTCCCCCCCTCCCCTCCCTCGCCTGCCACTCCCTCCCTCCCTCCCTCCCTCCTCCCCCCTCCTCCCCCCTCCTTCCCCTCCTCCTCCTCCTCCTCCTCCTCCTCCTCCTCCTCCTCCCATATCACGACGGCTCGCATACGAATACTCGCTTGATGTGCTGGTGGACGTGCGCGACGCGGCAAGACTTTACCCCCCCGCGCCGACTCCCTGCGCGCACCCCGCCCGCGCGCCGCCCCCGTGGAGAAGGGCCCCCCCCTCTGGCCCAGACCGCGGCGCGAGCAGCACGGCCATCTTCGCGCTCGCCCGGGAGGAGGAGGAGGAGGAGGAGGAGGAGGAGGAGGAGGAGGAGGAGGAGGAGGAGGAGGAGGAGGAGGAGGAGGAGGAGGAGGAGGGGGAGGAGGGGGAGGAGGGAGGAGGGGGAGGAGAGGGGAGGAGGGGGAGAAGGAGGAGGAGAGGAGGATGAGGAGGAGAGGAGGAGAGAGGAAGAGGAGGGGAAGAGGAGGATGGGGGAAGGAAGTGGGGAGGAATCGTGAAAAAGGAGGAAGGGAAAGAGAGGGGGGGGGGGGGAGGAAGAGGGGATGAGGAGGATGAGGTGGAGTAGGAGGGAGGGAGGAGGGAGGAGGAGGACAGGAGGAGGAGGATGGATGATGATGGTGAATGGTAGGCGGAGGGGTGAGGATGAGGAGTGGCCCCTCCCCGACCAGAGGATTCCGCCCTCGCGCCGCCGATGCCGCGCCGCCGGGATGTGCCCAGATCCACCGCCGCGGGGAGTCCTGTGGCGGGGCAGTGGTGGTGGGCCTGGACGTGTGCCCGCCCGCCCGCGCGGGCGGGCAGGGCCCGACTCCGAGGCGGTGGACGTGGACATACAGTCAAAAACCCTAATAAGGACGCGCGGTAAGGACGCAAGACCCTTGGAAGCCGAAGTTGGGATTTTTGGGGCGGCGGACGACGAAAACCCGAAGGACGCAAGAGCAAGGAAGAGCAAGGACGCAAGGGTACCCTGAGCAAAGTCGCGCGTCCTTATTAGGGTTTTTGACTGTACTCTGGCGGTGGACGATGCCGGCCCGGCGAGGCACTTCACGTGGAAGTCGTGCCGCAGCGGCTCGACGAGCCACAGCAGCAGGATGCCGACGACCTCGGCCCGTCGCCGCCCTCGCGACTGCGACGGCGGCTGAGGCTCTTCCGCCGCCGCGTCCTCCCCATTCCTCCTCCCGCTGCTCCAGTTTCTATGCTATCCTCCTCCTCCTCTCCTCCTCCTCCTCGTCCTCCTCCTCCTCCTCCTCCTCCTCCTCCTCCTCCTCCCCCTCCTCCCCCTCTTCCCCCTCCTCCTCCTCCCCCTCCTCTTCCCCCTCCTCCTCCTGCTCCTACTCCTCACGGACGCCAGGGCTGCGAGTCCAATGCCGACTGCCAGGGAGCAGGGTGTCCGCTCCGCCGAGCTCGTGGAGCTCGTGGAGACCACGGAGATCCGTCAGGGCGGCGTCGCACCGCGAAGGCCGGGCCCGTGCTGCATGGAGGCCAGGGAGCACGTGCCGACGGCCAACGCGCAGGGCAGCTCCGCAGGGAACCAGGGCAGTAAAGTAGCCGCTAGACTCAAGTCGGGCGTGTCCCCCTACAGGGGGATTGTCGACGGAAAATAGGCAATAGTCAAACAATAACCCAAAGTGGTCAAAAAATACTCAAAACATAATCCCCAAACTATTTTTTACTATTCTCGAATATCCCCCCTGTAGAGGGGCAAGTCAGACTTAACAGTAACAGCTAGACCACAAGAAACCTCCCACAAACAACCCAACCCTGAGGCCCCAGGACGCCCATCGACCGTTTGGCGTGGGAGCGTCACGTTCTCCGTCGCAGAACCATCGAAACCCGAGAAACCCAGGGCACCCTGGAGGCAAGCAGGGTGCTTCTTGGCCTGGGCTTCCACTAGACTATAGAGGCCTCCTGGATGGGGTCGGAGTAGATGGGGTCGGAGGATCGAGCATGCATCGGCGATACATCGGCGATGCATCGGCGATGCACCGGCGATTCATCGTCGACGTGGGCGATGCATCGGCGACGTCGCCGTGGACGAAATCGGGCTCCGCATCGAGCCGCATCGCCGATGCATCGGCGCTGCGGCGCGATCCTCCGACCCCATCTACTCCGACCTCATCTGGGAGGCCTAGATGTATGTAGTCCGACCCCATCTACATCCCCGTTAAGAAAGTTAATTCATCTTGGCTGAAATTGACATGTGTGGGCGCTGTGGTGAGAAGTGGTATGGGAGTGATTCTTCCTTGTGGTTTCACACGGGGAGAGATTCAGAGTTGCCCGGAAGTGACCGGGAGTGATTTCTCCCTCGTCAATTTACGGGGGAGAGATTTTATCCTGAATTGGTTATATACTACTAGTGTGACCATGGAGAACCCCGGAAATCTCTCCCGCCAAGCCAGGCCGAAGACTGCCGTGCTAGGAGTCTACGGGGGGAAGGGGGGGGGGTACTCGGAGACGCCCTAGTCGTCAGTGCTCAAGATGAATAACTTTCGCAACGGGTAAGTAGGAGGCCACGGAGCCGCTGGTGAGGATCAGCGGGGCCGATGGCGCAGCCCGTCGGCGAGGTACGAATTCTCTGCTGGGCGCGGTGGGGGGCCGCAAACGCGACCCGCAGCCTGGCGGCTGCGGCAGGCCCTGCGCGTCCCTCGACACCCATGTGGCGAGTGGCAGCGCGGGCGCGCCGCAGCTGGAAAAAATGGGATTCCGCCTCCTCCTCGTCCTCCTCCTCCTCGTCCTCCTCCTCCGCCTCCGCGTCCTCCTCCTCCTCCTCCTCCTCCTCCTCCTCCTCCTTTTCCTCCTCCTCCTCCTCCTCCTCCTCCTCTCCTCCTCCTCCTCCTCCTCCTCCTCCTCCTCCCCTCCGTCCTCCTCCCCCTCCCCCTCCCCCTCCCCCTCCCCCCTTCCCTTCCCCTCCTCCTCTCCTCCTCCTCCTCCTCCTCCTCCTCCTCCTCTCCTCCTTTTCCTCCTCCTCCTCCTCCTCCTCCTCCTCCTCCTCCTCCTCCTCCTCCTCCTCCTCCTCCTCTCTAGATGTTTTGTTGTTATTGTTTTGGTTTTGAAGGTCTTCGACGAGCTAGAGATCCACGAGGGCGTCGACGTGGAGAACGAGGCAAACCTGGCGGCGCCGATAGCGTCTCGCGTCGCTCCGGAGCCGTGTGCGGCGTCGTCCAATGTCGATGGCGATGACGGAGCTGGCGATCCCGCCTCGCCGCTGCAGACGGCGGCTGGCCGGTGCTGCGGCATGCATGAGGCCCTGAGGCCAAGGGGGGACGTGCCGACGGCCGACGCGCAGAGCTTCAGCAGAGCCCTCATCATCGACGACGACGTACGACGACGAACGACCTCGACCACGAACACGACGACGACCACGACCACGACCACGACCACGACCACGACGACGACGACGACGACGACGACGACGACGACGACGACGACGACGACGACGACGACGTACGACGTGGACCGAGGCAGCCAGCAGGCGCTGGCCCTGGAGCAGGTGAGCATCGGCGGCGCGCGCTGGTGGAGCCCGTCGGCACGGCAAAAGCTCTCCGTGGAGGGCCCGGGCAATCACCCGACAGGGGCCCCGCGGAGCGGGTGGGCATCGGCGGAGCGCTGGCGCCGCCCGTAGGCGAGGAACAAGTTCTAGTTGGCGCGGTGGGGGGGCCGCACAAACAGTCCCCAGCCGCCCCCAGCCCTCCCCATCGCTCGGACGTCCATTCCCTGTGTTTATGTTCGGTCTCGTGCGCGGTTTTTGCCGCAGGAGGATCCAGGATGCTCCTTCAGAATCCCCGCCGAGAAAAAGGTGCACACGTCCGAGCGATGCCAAGAGCCTGCCTGTCTTCGCTGCGGCCGAGGCGGCGAGGTCCGTCGGGGTGGCGGAGGCTCGGGCTGGCGCGCGGGACTTGCTCTCGCAGGAGGCTGCGCGCGGGGTCCTGCGGGAGGACGCCGCATGGTCCTCGGGGGCCGCCTCGCCTTCGGGCTCAACCGCTGCGGTTCCGACGGGGCCGACGACCGGCTGGGCAGCCACTGGTGCTGAGTGCTCGCCTTGGGTCGGGCATGTCCCCCTACAGGCGGGTTGTGGGCGAACCTTGAAACATACACACACAGACACACACACACACAGACACACACACACACACACATATATATATATATATATAGAAACACATATATATATATATAGACATATATTTATATATACATACATATATATATATATATGCAAAACAATACTCAAAAATGGTCGTTCATGAGGTGGTGTAGCCCGCGCGACGGACGGCGCTCGGGGCCGCGGCGCCTTTGCCACTGGAGCTGCCCTCGCAACGGGAGCGACAGCGGGAGCGACGGGAGCGGGAGCGACGGGAGCGACCTGCGCGGGCTGCCCCCCACACCTAGGGAGCCAGCTGCGAACCCTACCCCTACCCCCCCCGATTTCTGAGGGCGAGGGTGGGGTTCACTCCGCTCGGGAGCTCCCGAGCGAAGTGAACCCCACCCTCGCCCTCAGAAATCGTTGGGGGTAGGGGGTAGGGTTCGCAGCTGGCCCCCTAACACCTGAGCCTGCTGCCTGCGGAAGCTGCAAGAACTGCGACTGCAAAGATGCCACCAGTGCCTCCTGATTGCCAGGCACTCCCTGAATAATGGTGTCGAGTCGCTGAAGTGCCGCCTGAAGTTCAGAACGGCCGCTGCTGGAGGTACCCGTGTGAGTGAGCATGGCGGTCCGCGCCAAGTGGACCTCGGCCTGAATCTGCACCAGCTCAGCCGCTTCAACGTCGTATGCTGCTATCTTGTCGCCCATCTGCTGGGCGACGCAGCCCGGCGGCGGTCCTCGTCGTCCTCCTCCTCCTCCTCCTCCTCCTCCTCCGCCTCCTCCTCCGCCTCCGCCTCCTCCTCCGAGCTTCCTCATCCTCCTCCTCCTCCTCCTCCGCCTCCTCCTCCTCCTCCGCATCCTCCTCCTCCTCCGAGCTTCCTCCTCCTCCTTCTCCTCCCTCCTCCTCCTCCTCCGCCTCCTCCTCCTCCTCCTCCTCCTCCTCCTCCTCCTCCTCCTCCCCCTTCCCCCTCCTCGACAGCGGACTCGAGCTCCTCTGCTTTCTCGGACTTGGCGGCCCGACGGTCCAAGGCGCGGCGCCAGAGGTCGCCATGGGGTCCTCTGCGCCCTCTCGCGGGGCTCGGCCTCGCCCAAGTCGGCCTTGGCCTGCTCGATGCGTGCTGAGGTCGTCCAGCACCAGCGTCTTGAACGCACCCAGAGCTCGACGGCACTTGGCCACCTCATCAGATGCCGTGTTCTCCATGGGACTCGGCCTCGCCCAAGTCGACCTTGGCCTGCTTGATGCGTGCTGAGGTCGTCCAGCCCCAGCTTCTTGCGCGCACCCAGAGCTCGACGGCACTTGGCCACCTCATCAGATGCTGGTGTTCTCCGTGGCTCCGCCTGCGACTGCCTGCAGCAGCTCCTGGAGGTCGAGGCTGCGAGCGTCGACGAGACCTGCCGCTGGGTGGAGCCCGTGGCACGAAAGAGGGATCGGGCTTCACACTGCGATCGCGCCCGCACATGAAACAACTGCTGTTGCAAGCAAAGTCCTTCGTGCATCCGCATTGGCGGGTTGCCGCACGAGCCCAGCGGAGCTCGCGCGGGCCAGTAGACGTTCTTGCCGAGGGAGCAGCGGATGCCTTACAAGCCTTGTCGTCGCCACCGCCACCCAGTACCGAAGAGCCGCGATATCGCTGCAATATGCCTCGGGCTGCCGCTGTCTGCAATGTGCTGCAAGCCCATGGCCGCCTCCTCCGCAGACGACGGTGCCACGCAGGCGAGCGAGAGCGGCCAGAATGAGGCCGAGAAACAATCACACGTGTGCGACCAGGCACAGGGACGCGCACTGGCCAGGGGGCAGTTACAGCATCGGGCTGTGCGGTGTGCATGCCACGCTGTACCACCTGGGCGGAGAAGGAGGAGGAAGAGGAAAAGGAGGAGGAGGGGAAGGAGGAGGGGAAGGAGGAGGGGCAGGAGGAGGATGAGGAGGAGGAAGGACTAAACTCCTCCTCATCGCTCCTCACGTCCCAATCCTCCTCCTCCTCCTCCTCCTCCTCCTGCTCCTACTCCTCCTCCTCCTCCTGCTCCTCCGTGGTCCTCTGCCTCCTCCGCCTCCTTCTGCTGCTGCTGCTCCTCCTCCTCCCTCCACCTCCTCACCCTCCTCCTGACCGTACTCCTCATCATGATGATTCGTCCTTCCCTCCTCCTCGTCGTCCTCCTCCTCCTCCTCCTCCATCTCCTCCTGCGCCTCCTCGCGTTCCCTCCTTCTCCTCCTCCCCGTCTCCTCCTCCCCCTCCTTCTCTCTCCATGCTCCCCTTCATGGGGCAGGGCAGCGAGGAGGGGGGGGGGGAGGAGGGGTTCAAGGCGGCGGGGTGGGTGGTGGAAATGAGGATGGAACGGGGAGAGAGGCAGCAGCACGGCAGTGGAGCACTGGAGTAAGTAGTGACATCTATGCTTTTCGTTGTGTGTCGTGTTCCTTAAGTTTTGGTTGGAGATGTGGTGCAATCCGCATGCTGTGTCTGTGTGTGGTCCATTCGGTGCGTGGTTCCCGCCGCTCTTGTGAGCAATACAACTGAAAGTTCCCACCCCAACAACAAATTGTCGCCCCCCCCTGCGCACAAGGCATGTATGTTGAACCTCCCAGATGAGGCACGGGAAAGAGGAGGAGCAGGATGAGGATAATGCCGACGTGAGGAGGAAGGGAGAACAACTGGATGAGGAGGAGGGGAGAATGCGGAGGCGAAGTTTAACTGGAACCACCTGTTTCAATTCTGGGGGGGCTTCCTTTGAAATTTGCCCAAGAGTGCTCCACGGAAGTCTCATGCCAAGATGTACGACCCCCCATCATCACCCTCCTCCTGCTCATCCGCAACCGGCTCCTCCTCCTCCTCCTCCTCCGATGCACAAGGCCACCCTTATGATTGCACAACGTCGGATTGATGCTTTCGGGGACCAAGGTCCTGTAGGACACTCCAGTCGGCGGACCGACAGGGGAGGATGTCAGATGTGGCGCGAGCGCAGCTGGCTTGTCCTCGTCTCTTCTCCCTTGCCCCCTTTGTGAACTGCCCCCCCCCCAACTCCCACATGCCTCCCGCATTCCTCAGACTTCTTCCCCTGCTCGCCTCGTTGCCCCCTTTTCCCTGCTTCCCGCGTCCTCCCTCCCTCTCTCTCTCCCCACCTCTCCTCCTCCCCGCCCTTCCTCCCTCCCCGCCCCCCTCCCCCTACAGCATCTGGTCCTCCCTTCCTCTGGGCCCCCACGTCCTCCCAGCCAGAACACGAGGGTCCCCCAGAAACTAAAACTAGGTCGGGCACGTCCCCCTACAGGCGAATTTTGGAGGACGAATAAACAATAACCAACAAATATTCAAACATAGAACTACAAAGAATAGAAAATCTGCACTTTTTGTATTTTTGCATATTCGTCCTGTAGAAGGACATGCCCGACTTACAACCAAAATCTGGGAGCCAAAACCCGCCCGCCAGAGTTTTTGCTTTCGGGCCGAAGCTCGAATCTCCAGCGGTCGTTGGAGACGATCTGACGACCTGGGCACCTCTGGAACATTCTCAGCAAATCGACGTGCTGGGAACCACCCCGAAGCCCGAAAACCTCCAACATCGAACCTCGGTCCCGCTCCTTGCCTCAACCCGTCGTTGTCGTGTGAAGTCGTCGCCCTCGTCGCTGCACCCTGCACTATTCGACCGTGTCCGGCCGGCATTTGGTGCAGAGACGCGCCGCGGCCCCGAGCCCGTTGCACAGCTGATGAGGGGCCCCATCGCGCCCATCAGGGAGAGCTTGTACTTCTTCGCGAGCTGCTTGTTCCCGTAGAGGTAGATGAACCAAGTGAGGCCTCTAAAGAAGCTTCAAGGAGCGCCAAGGACGCCCCCATGGGCCCCCCCCCGAGGGCCCAAACAGCCTCTGATCCACGACACCAGCACGGAGCCGGGGCGGGTCGAGAGCCACTGCTTCGATGAGACAGGTGAGGCCTCAACCAGCCGGCTTGCTCCCTATCTCTCTCTCTCTCTCTCATTATGTCCCTCTTTCTCTCTCTCTCTCTCTCGGTCCTGCTACCGTCTGTCAATCTGCACTACTACACACACCACGGATGGGATCTGCATTACTATACAGTACTATGCATACAGTGCCGCGGCGAGCGGAAGCTGGGATGTAACAACCACCCATGTCTTATCAGACTGCGACATCTGATATTGTTGCCAGGTGTATCGGTGCAGGGAGTGCGTCCTTGTCTGAAAACAGAGATTTCGGAATTGCGCACATCGCTCCATAAGCGCCCACACATGATGAATATACGGTTGCCGCAGCCTGCATCACGCAGAATGTATCAGTTCCAATGTTGCCAGACTTGCGGCGTGCTAATATGCATCAAGTATGGAGCGGGGCATCATCTTCTCCATTACGTTCGTTTGATTGTGTGGACGTGCACATGTGTTGATTGAATTGTTTGGGTCGGAGCCTGGGAACACCAGAATACAGTCCAGTCCGACGCATTCCTACTCGGAGTCGCCTATCCCTGAGAATGATAAGGCCCACGGGGTAGGGTAGAGTAGAAATAGAAATCGGACTAAGACGCAGGAGCAGGTGCAGGAATAGGCCAGATGGGAACGTAAGAGGAAATACAGGGAGAGGATGACAGGCGGGCGCGCCGAAGAAGTTCTGACGAACCTCAGCCCGACAACGGAATACGCTGGAGGACCTGACAACTCAGCGGCTGGCGATGTGACGCGATGCTGGGACCAGGAGGAGGAGGAGGAGGAGGAGGAGGAGGAGGAGGAGGAGGAGGAGGAGGGGGGAGGAGGAGGAGGTAGGAGGAGAGGAGGAGGAGGGAGGAGGATGAGGAGGAGGAGGAGGAGAAGTGCTGGAGGACCTGAAAACTCAGCGGCTGGCGATGTGACGCGATGCTGGGGCCAGGTGGTCAGGCGAGGGATGCGAGCTCGAGCCCTGGAGTCCAGGGCTGCTTCTGCGGGCATCCTCCTCTTCCTCCTCTTTTTTACGTTCGCCCGACTTAAGGATCTAGCCTATAGGGTTCTAAAACAGAAAAACAAGTAGACGACTCGGTTCACAACACACCTACCTACCTGGCGGGCGCCACGGAAAAAGTTAAGAAGTAAAGGCGGCGACGAGCACAGCAGGAAGAGTAGGCGCCCGCCAGGTACGGGCAGTGCGCACCTTGGTAAGATAAGCCCCCCACCTCCTGCTCCTCCTCCCCCTCCCCCTCCCCCTCCTCCTCCTCCTCCTCCTCCTCCTCTTCCTCCTCCTCCTCCTCCTCCTCCTCTCCTCCTCCTCCTCCTCTCTCTCTCCTCCTCCTCCTCCTCCTCCTCCTCCTCCTCCTCCTCCTCCTCCTCCCTCCTCCCTCCTCTCCTCCTCCCCCTCCTCCCTCCTCCTCCTCCTCCTCCTCCTCCTCCTCCTCCTCCTCCTCCTCCTCCTCCTCCGCCCCCTCCTCCTACTCGCACTCCCTTCCCTCCTCCGCCATGTGGCATGGGGCCCTCCCCCATTATCCTCCCCCCCCTTTGGGCCACTGGAGGTGGAGGACGAGGATGTGGAGGGCACGAGGGGCACGAGTCTGAAGAGGGGGGGGGGGCTTGGAGAGGGGAGTGGGAGTCGCAGGGGCTGGGCGAAGTCTAGCCTGGCTAGATCGAGAGTCCAAGTCTGGCGTAGGGACGGATTGAACTTTGTAAACGGCCTCCTAGATGGGGTCCGAGTAAATGGTGTCGACAGATCACGCCGCATCGCCAATGCATCGCCGATGCATCGGCGATGCGTCGGCGACGTCGACGATGCATGGGCGACGTCGGCGTGGGGAAACATGGGCTCTGCATCGAGCCGCATCGTCGATGCATCGGCGATGTGGCGCGATCATCCGACCCCATCTGCTCGGACCCCATCTAGGAGGCCCTAGGATGCCCCTGACTCCGGATCGGGGGGTCGAGGGGCCAAGGAAGGGGATGGGGAGGAGGAAGAGGATGGTGATGATGATGATGATAATGCTGATGATGACAATAATACTAAGAATGATGATGATGATGATGATGACGATGATGATGATGATGATGATGATCCCGCTCTCCCAAGGTGAAGCGAGGCCGAAACGCCAACGCCCACCGAAATGATGATGATGATGATGATGAGGAGGAGGGGGAGGAGGAGGAGGAGGAGGATGATGCTTATGATTATGATTATGATGATGACGATGGTGATGATGATGATGGTGTTGATGATGCTGATGATGATTCTTTTGGGGCCCGCACACCTTCAGCCATGACAGCGTTGACACTGCGATCTCAAGTTGTTGCTTCAACTCGTCGCGCATTAGGCTCGCCTTGTCCAGGGCAACACGATGCTTCCTGCGGACTTCTCTGTTCCCGCGAAGGGCAGCCATGTCAACGGAAAGGGCCTCTATGCTATCGCCCAGCGTGGCCAGTGGTGACCGCAAGGCAACCATATTGCGAAC